AGTTTTTTTTACAATGGAAATGTTTGTAATAAAAAGTATAAAGTGAGCACTGTACACTTTGTATTCTGTGTTGTAATTGAAATCAATATATTTGAAAATGTAGAAAACATCCAAAAATATTTAAATGGTATTCTAGTATTTAACAGTGCGATTAATTGCACAATTAATCGTGATTATTTTTTTTTAATCACTTGACAGCCCTAATTAATACAAAACATACAGGCATGACATCCCCCCATGGTTACAAACTGGTCTAAGCTGAGTCCCCTTAAACTCTCCAGCCTGGGCTCTCTCACAGTGCCATGCAAGTGACAAGCAGCAAACCCCTCCGTGTACTGTGATCACTCAGCCATCAACAGGTGGAGACACAGCCAAATGAGTTTACAAGTATCTCTGTCAAACCACACTGTGACGTTCCCCTGGTGTTATCTGGACCGGTGATCTCCTAGGTCACTCCAATCCTGGAGTCTGGGAGCCAGCCTTACCCTGCTCTGCTGTGAGAACCCCAACTCCTGGGCTGTTCACGCATAGCCTCTGGCATGTAAGCTGCTCCTTGGATTGTGTCTTTAAGTACTCCTGCAGTTTCTCTCCACAGCTTTGAAAAACTGGATGCTTGAGATTGTCCAGTCCAGTGCGTTCTGTCCTTTGTTCTGAAGTGTTGCCAGCAGATCAGAGGCAGTGTTTGTACACTTCTGTTGGTGATGTCGAAAGTGATTCAAACTTAAGTCTTTGTTTGTATGAGACTGTATGTACACAAACTGTGTGTATGCAAAGTTGGGGCGGGTGGGACAGGGCTTAAAAAAGGGACTGTCCCTGCCAAAATGGGATGTATGGTCACTCTGCCCACCCCGTGTCCACAGAGGTGCTGCCTGGAGCCCCAGGAGGCTGCGCGGGACAGGGCACCAATCCTGTGCTGTCATTCCAGGAAACACCAAGGCTACACCTCCAGGAGCAACAGCTGGGCGCAGCAGGGAGGGGGCGCTGCTTTGCTCCCCTTCCCATCTCTGCCCAGGGGGCTGTCATGGCTGCTTTTGAAACCCACTGTATTCATGGGTCCCTTGAGATGGACTTTCAATGCCATTCTGCCGGGGGAGGAACTGACAGAAGCTATTCTGGCTGTTCTCCCGAAAGGTGGAAAAGACCTTACTCCTGTGCCGTTCCTGTCACCCTGTAATTCTGCTGACTCACAACAAAGTCTTTAGCAAAAATGGGAACTAGCTGAGTCCAGCCTGTGATGGCGTCTTCTCTAAATCCAGCTACAACTGGATTCCTTAAGGATAGACAAACGTCAGACAATATTCGGCGAGTACGTGGAATCATCCATAACGCCAGAGCAAAAAAAGATCCATTTCTCTGGTTGTTGCTAGACGCCGAGGAAGCCTTTGATAGAATAGAGCAGTGGCTGTCAAACCGTGAGTCAGGATGCCAAAGTGGGTCACACCCCATTTGAATGGGGTTGCCAGGGCCAGCATTAGACTTGCTGGGACCCAGGGGTCAAGCTGAAGCCTGAGCTCACCCCCACCCGGAGCAGCGGGGGTTGGGCTGCAGCCCCCTCTCCCTCCACTTGGGTGGTGGGGCTTGGACCGCGGCCCCTTCTCCCCGCAGCCGAGGCAGTGGGGCTCAGGCTCTGCCCCAGCAAGCTCACGTAATAACTTCGTTGTCAGAAGGGGGGTTGTGTGCCATGAAGTTTGAGAACCCCTGGAATAGAGTGAAACTTTGGCTCTGGCTACACGACCAGGCTTTCAGCAACTCGGCTGTGCCATGACAGCTGTGCTGCTAAAAGCCGCGCGGTGTAGCTGCTGTTTGTCGGCAGGAGAGCTCTCAAAAACGTCCACCCCCCACAAGTGGCTTTGGCGGCAGGAGAGCCCTCCTCCCGGCAAAGTGCTGTTCACACTGGTGATTTTCATCGGTAAAACTTTTGTCATGGGAGGGGGGATTAACACCCCGGAACGACAAAAGTTTTGCAGCCAAAGTGCCAGTGTAGACAAAGCCTTTGTGTTTCAGGTCCTGCCTCGTATGTGAACTTTGTACACACGCACCCCTGTCCCCCCCGGTTCCTTAAATGGATAACTGCTCTTTACACCAGCCCAAAAACAGCTGTGTGAGTTAATGAAGTTAAATCTCCCCTTTTTGAATTACGAAGAGGGATTGCGCATTGGCTATGGAGCCTTTTGCACAGAGGATAAGGACCAATGGACCCCTCATAGGAATAAAACTTGCAGGAAAACATCAGAAAAATAGCATGATATCCAAGTGATTTAATAGTGTGTTTATCTAAACCAAATGTTTCCCTAAAATTGGTTTCTAAAGAAATTCAGGACTTTGCAAAAGTGTCTGGATTTAAAGTAAATTATGTTTTTCTGAAATATCTAGAAATTTGCTGGACTATGCAAAGTCTCTCTTCCAGAAAACATATGGATACAAATGGGCAACACATTCTACAAAATACCTGGGAATTCATCTCTCAGACAAGCTAGAAGAGCGCTATGATTCAATGTCAAACCACTGCAATGTCAAAAAAGACCTGAGTGCTGGGGCATATATGCAATTTCTTGGTTGGGAAGAATAGCCAGCGTCAAACCAAATCTTCGGCCAAGGATATATTTTTGTGCGTGTCGTAGATAAAACCCCCCAGCAGGAATACTGAGGACATTGTTAGAATTTATATGGAATAAGAAAAGACCGAGAGTGAGAGAAAATACTGTGTACAGACCTATTAACTGGGATGGACTAGCTTTTCTAAATAGTCCAGCCAGCCAGCCAGCTCAAAGCAGTATTGGATTGCGGGTGCTCTAACACAGCTAAACTCTGGGTCTTTGTTGAACAAGAAAATTACAGCAGTGTAAGCATTACGAGGCTACCATGGGTTACTAAAAAAATCACGCCCACCAGTAGGGCCGTCCCTTGCTATTTTGGGCCCCAGGCTTCCGCAGGGGGCTGGCCACTTCTGGCGGGAAGTGGAGTGACCCAGCCCCAGCCTCTTCTGCTCCCCTGGCTTCCAGGCTTGGGGACTAGGGGGGAGCCACCCGCCCCAGCACTCGCTCATGGCGCGACTGGGAGCCAGGGGAGCGGAGCAGGCTGGGGCCAGGTCGCTCTACTTAGGGTTGAGGGCAGGCCCGACCGCTTCTGGAGTCCTCAGGGGAGTGGGGGTGGAGCAGGGGTGGGAAGAGGCGGGGTGGGGGGCAGAGCAGGGGTGGGGACTTTGGGGAAGGGGTGGAGTGGGGACGGGGCTGGGGCAGAGCAGGGGCGGACAGAAGCGGGACTGGGGCGGGGGCCATAGGGAAAAGGCGGAGCAGGGGCCTGGAGCCGCACACAGCTGCGTACTTTGCATATGGGTAAGGATGGCCCTGCTCACCAGAAATTTATACACATCCTTTAGCAAAGGCTACCCTACGGCTTTGGGTTAGAAGAGCTAAAGTACAGTTCATTTCCCTCACCAATGACATCCATTGCAAATAATCCAGATCTTAAACCAAATTACGAACCAGAGAGCTTGAAAGATCGGAATACCCAGAGTTGGCTGGCTATTTAGTAAAGAAACTTTTCTAACTTATTTAGAGATCAAAACTAACTTTAACTGGCTCACTCTCACCTGCTACCGGTACTTTCAAGTCAGGCACTATGTTTCTTTAACTTTCTAGAAAACTTATTTTCTACTGAAAGCTAACTTGAATAGAAGTGATGGTGTCTGGTCAATTAGGAAGCAAACAGCATTATAACTAATTGATAGCAAGCTCTGCAGACAGCTTTCCTAAAAAAAATGTCTATGTAGGACATGCTGGGAAAAGGGTGTGGATAGAAAAGTTACCCCAGAGAAAAGGGGTTTGAGCAGCAACCTCAACCTGCGGCACAATAAAAGAAAATTCTGCTAAACTACTGTTTCAATGGTACCTCACACCAGTCAGATTGAAAACCAGAGAGAGACTGAATGGGGATAAATGTTGCAGAAACTGGGGTGGAAAAGGAGATTATTATGCATATATGGTGGACGTGTCCAGTCACGGGAGAGTCTTGGGATGCAATCGGTAACCAAATATCACAAATTGTTGGATCTTTATTACCAAATGATCCTTTGGTAACCCTCCCGGGGCTTCCTAGTGGAAATGGTCACACCAAAGGAAATGAATTAATCTTTCATCCGCTAGTTGCTGTTGGCTAGTGGTAGCCTCTCACTGGGAAAAAAAATAGCCCAACTATTGAGAAATGGTTCAAAAATATGGGAGGTTGGTTACGGAAAAATTCACACACCACTTAGGTACTTAGCAAAATAGACCAAGAACAGATAGATATGTGGTTACCTTTTATTCAGTACTCAGAAAAAGTACATTCACCCACAAAAAAGCCAGCACATCTGCCCAACTTCTTTTTGAATACTAACATTTGGCAGACACGACAGGTTTGTTAAATATGTCTTACATATACAGAGCTTTCATAGATATTAAGGTCAGAAGGGACCATTATGATCATCTAGTCTGACCTCCTGCACAACGCAGGCCACCGAATCTCACCCACCCACTCCTGCGATAAACCTCTCACCTATGTCTGAGCTACTGAAGTCCTCAAATCGTGGTTTAAAGACTTCAAGGTGCAGAGAATCCTCCAGCAAGTGACCCGTGCCCCATGCTGCAGAGGAAGGCAAAAAACCCCCAGGGCCTCTTCCAATCTGCCCTGGAGGAAAATTCCTTCCCAACCGCAAATATGGTGATCAGCTAAACCCTGAGCATGTGGGCAAGATTCACCAGCCAGATACCCAGGGAAGAATTCTCTGTAGTAACTCAATTTAATAAAATCACTAGAAATACAATAGGTGTAAAGATATATGGTATCACCCTGTTAAATAGAAAGATCTGATGACTATATTCCTCTGTAAAGTCTCTGTAAACATAAGATAACTTTGTAATGATTGCTTTGTTTCTGATAGTTACATGGCAAGGATTTGTAAGCTTGTTAAAGCTTCCTAAATAAATAGTTTTAAAAAAATTAAACACACCCACCTTTTGGGCCTTCATCGTGGAGAAGCAAATTAAAGAAAAAGGTGGGGATGGATTCCCACCCCACCCCTTCCAGAGCATCTTAAAGGCTAAGTTGCAAACTTTGCCCATAATATCCAGAGGAACACTGTGGTCTAAGAGATTTTCGAAGCACACTGACTTTCAATCAGAATTGGGTGCCTACCTGCCTTTGAAAATCTCACTCTGTATGGATTCCATCGTACCTCAAAGCCTTGGGACCAAATTTTCAGAGAATATTCCCTCTAAACTTGCCCACCCAATTTCTTTTCGGTAGCACAGAATCTCAGATTTGGGTAAATAAATGGCATTTGTTCACCAAACTGGTCAGCGGGACACACAACTACGAGACCTGAGGAACGAAATTGGAGATTTTGGGCACACAGATTTAGAGGCTAGTTCTAAATATTTGGCCCATGTGCAAGAGTTCTCAAACACTTACGTTTGTCAAACGAACCAAAACAGCACTTGGGTGTCCCAACCTGCCTCTGCTATCGGTTTTGAAAAAGTTGTTCACGCCTGAAAATATGATTAAGATCAAGATGAGCAGAAAATTGCTGGCTTCTCAGGGTTTCGTAACAGCTTCTCTTAAAACCAAAAAATAGAGAATAGACCCTGTTTTGAAAATTGATTTCTAAAGTTACAGACCCGGAGAATTAAAATGATTAAACACAGAACCATTTAAAATAATCACGTTACAAATTATCATGGAGGATGCTTTCGACTTCAGTTCCATCAATACATATACTTAAAGACCCTGTTTATATCTGAAAGGCTTCTTTCTGGCAAACCCATTTGAATTCACCACCACAGATTTCAGAACGAATCTGTTCCTTCATCACCCCACAACTGTTCTGTTCAGCAAGGCCGGTTATTGGGAATCTGTGGAATGAAGAAAATATATTATCAGAGGTTTAAATTTATTCAACAAGTTCTATTGTAGTCATTCGTCCTCATTTGTGTGTAGTGGGCATGCACATGTAGAAGAGGAACCCATTCGGAGGAATGTGACAGGGTGGTCTGGTGCTTTGTGGAGTTGTCATAACAACAATTAGGCAGAAAAGAGGGGGTAATTGCCCTAAATCCATGTCACAAGGACACCCCAAGCAGTGAATCTGGCTTCAGTTTAAAAAAAACAAACAAACAAACACTCTTAGTTGCTTTCCCTCTCTCAGTGGTGGAATAAAAGTTTCATTTGGTCTTCTCTGAGCTGGGAGATGATTGGTACCAAGACATTACAAACCCTCCAGCCTCAAAGTCCCAATTCAGGTTCCCCAGCTGGGTTTTTCCAGCAGACCTCCAAGCTTTTAGCCTCAGCATATGTAGTTTACCTGCCCCGATTATCAGGAGCAGGAGGCCAGGAGCTTCCAACATTTGAATTCTCCCATGGGATAGTCTCCTCCCCCTTGTGCCCCCCCAAACATACATCTGGTGTATCCTGCTCAGGGCATCCCTGCGACAAGGAGAAAGTACTGCCTACTGAATGCCCAGGTTACCAGGGTAGTGCTTAGATTCTACAATGTGTGTGCTATAGAAAAAACATAACCTACACAGAAAGCCAAGTTACATGTGAAAGCCAAGCCCTTAAAGGAAATTAATTTCCCAGGGACATACATTATGGCTTTCAATTCCTAGTAGGCTACTAGGGGATGCCATATCACCTGTTGTACATTTTAAATCAGAATATGGATTGAGGTGCCGAATTTTAAGCACCCAAGTTGGAAAGCAATGGACTAAGATTTTCTGCCAGAGTTATAAAATAAACACACGAAAGGTCAAAGAGCACTCACAGTGTTTGATTGACCAGGGAGCCATCCACCCACATCCAGTTCCTCTCAGGGGAGGTAAAATTAAGTCCAATCCAAACATGATTTACACCACTTGTAACATTCCGTATGAAATCCTGTGAAGTGTAAAGCAGAGGGGACTGGGTAAAATCACTGACACAGGCTAGAGTTCTTGGGGTCCACCAGCACAGCCACACCTTGCTTCTTGCTTCAGGGGCTCTGCCCGCGATGCCTCCGGGGGAAATCTGCAGCCCCGTTCTGAGGGCCTGAGCCAGACAGCGAATGCAGCGTCTGCCCCTGGGAAAATGGAATCTCAGTGTAGGACTGAGAGGTTCACACTATAGTTATAAGAAAAATCCATTTGCTATTGAATTATGAACATGAACATGTTCTTTTCTACTTAAAATGTATAAGAAATAAGCAAAAGAAAATTAAGATGGGGAGACACCGTAGGAGCTGCGTTGTTTAGCATTTTCCCCCTCTCTGCTCCCAGATGTAAAGAATGTTTTGTTTTAGCTTTAATGAATCCAAATTTCACACAGCTGAGCCTCCTTCCAGCACTTTCTTTCTGTACTTATGGCTGACACAAGTCCTGGTATTATACTATAGACCCATTTCTCCAGCGGAAGGTTCAGCATCATATTTTCTTTACCATCTCGTCCTGGTCCTGGATCACGAGCATTTGAGACGTCTTCACTGTGCAGTCTTCAAAGCTCTTCTTCCAGTTTTTAAATTCTTTAGAGACCCAATAGCACTTCCTTCTATGCAACAGCCAATCCATGGGGCAGAGTTTGCACTCGGCGCCCTCTAGAGGGGGAAAGGGAAAGAGGGTGTCAGGAATGGTTTTGAAGGTTTTAAGTAAAATCATGCATGGAGCTTTCAGATTCAGTGTCCCAACCAGGGTGTCTCTCTCTTTGGATTGTGTGTGTTGAAGCAAGGCTCAGTTCTTAGCAAGACACACTTTAGGGCAGGATTAAGGGTCTTTGGCAGAGCTAGGATGGGTCAGGAGTGAGGACTAGAACTGCAGGAGTGAGCTGTGTTGTTCAGGTGTTTTTAGTATGTTCATCACTGCAGTACATGAATAGCACCCGGAGGAGTGGACCAGCAGGGAATAACACAGGCCAGGTGTCACTGGCCTCCTTGCCAGCTACCCACCAGATTGTTGTGAGGGGAATCCAAGCGTCTGGGTCCCTAGATCCACAGGTGTTTAAGACTCTGGGACCTGAACCAAGTCCAGCCACTACCCTAATCTTGGGGGTCCCAAGACATGTTCTCAGGGCACAGATCTATCTGGCACCCACTTCAGTTACAGTTGAACTCCCTCTGGAAGTTCACAGTAGTGTTGTGAAACATTTAATACACAGACACTTTGCTCAGAGTCTAACATAATTAATTGCTCTTCTACTTAATCATCTAAAGCACAAGAGAGTACAGCTCATACAGAACACAGCTCACGCACTTTTCCTCTTTAATGGATTTTGCCTCACGACACCCCCGGGAGGCAGGGCAGTGCCATTATCCCCGTTTTACAGATGGGGAACTGAGGCACAGAGAGGTTAAGCGATTTCTCCAAAGTCGCATGGGAAGAGTGTGGCACAGCAGGGAAATGACCCCAATCTCCCAAATCCTGAGCTTATGCCCTAAATCCTGGACCATCCCTCCTCCTAACAATAGCACAAACCTCTACAACTTGAGCTAGAGACGATGGTTCTCTAGGTGGGAGCTGTAACAGACTCACATTCCCTGTGAGCCAGCCAAAGAGGGGGGATGTGTAACACACACTTGTGCGTGTATATTGTGCTATTTTAACTCAGTAATTTCTTTCATTAACAGAAGAAAGCCTAATTCCTCACTGAGAACTGTACACGGGAAAGTTCTGAAGCCTATGTTCTCATCTCACTTCCTGCTGGTGAGTTTAGGGGTAGCATCCTTTGGAAAGTAAGACATTTCCAGATTGTGCAGTTCAGCTCTTATTAACTCAGTTGCTACTTTTCTAACTTGTTTCTGGACCCTCAGTTGCTATTACTCCAAAGAGAAGAGAGTAGATTGATACATTAAAAGCTAGCACTTGGATTTGGATTTAATCAGATCTTACAAGTTTAACAGGATCATAAGTGAGTATGTGGATGGGGAGACCTCCAGGGAAGACCATGAGTGCTAGATATTAAATGGCATGGGTAATTAAGAGGAAAAAGCAGCACCTGGTAAGTTAGAACTAAACCTAATGCCCAAACCTACCACTAGCTGGTGCTGTGTTCCTGGTAATGCCTTCATAGAATCATAGAATATCAGGGATGGAAGGGACCTCAGGAGGTCATCTAGTCCAACCCCCTGCTCAAAGCAGGACCAATCCCCAATTTTTGCCCCAGATCCCTAAATGGCCTTCTTAAGGATTGAACTCACAACCCTGGATTTAGCAGGCCAATGCTCAAACCACTGAGCTATCTGTTCCTTCATGTGAGAAATAAAACTTAAGTCTGCTTGTGATCACAAAAATCCTATGACCTCTTTTGAATAACCGGAGGTCTAAACAGCTTGTGTAACAAATTTTGCCCCTCTAAAATCTCCCTGAATTTCTCTAATGGTACCCAGGACACTCCTGTTCTGTGGAGAACTCCCTGAACACGTGATTCTGGCTCTTCCTCCACTTCCAGCTGCTAAATTTCATTAACACATTTAAAATACCTGAAATACTTTTCTAATACTCAGCGACTGTAGTTGCCCAGGGATGTTACGATATGGGAATGTCCTTCCCTTCTTAGCTATTGTGCACGGTTGCTGTGCGCTGCTAAACAAACACTAAGCTTCACCCCAAAGGCAGTTGCATTTGTGTAGTGGGTGAAGGGATTCCTGTATCTGCTACATAATTTGTCAAGTACTTTGGGATCCCAGGATCTGTGAGAAATATTTATTGCACTGCAAGTTGATTGCCCTGTACTTACTGGCCACTAGATGTCACTGCTTCTGCTTCTGCTCAGCACCAAGTGGAAATGATAAGAGAACTAAAGACAGGGAGGAGGATCATGAAGGTGTGACACATCTCTGCTATACAGAAAACGAGAGCATTTTGACTGCCTAATTTGATTTTAAGTTGCAGCGAATTCTTCCGGTGGGTATGAAATGGGGGAAAGGAGCTCAATGAGAATGAGGTTACCTGTTGAGTTGCTGTGTGATGAAACACAAAGCATTTGTTTCAGTTGAGATGGGAAATCCTCCAGGCGGGATCCTTTGGTTACTATTTCAGGATTAGGGGGAAAAAAGAAAAGAAAAGAAAAAAGGTAGAGGGTATAAAATCCATTAAATACTGTACTATCTGTCTAATCTATGAGAGGAACAGAGAGGAAATCTTATTCATTCCACTTTGTAATGTATATTCATTCCACTTTTCCCTGCACATTTAATGATGAAGCTGTTTTAGTCCAATCACACAATTTTTATATCCCAAGCTCTTAACTACATCTAGTTAATGTAAAGTTTTGACTTGCATGGTCCAATGTGTCAAGTATTTCATTCACAAATAGACAGGAATCAGAAATGAGATCTCCGTGGGATTGTGAAGTAACAGGCGAATTCAAGGTGCACATTGAGACTGTGAGCTTCTTGGCTAAGGGACAGTCTAGCCAGTGTAGTCACCTTGATCACCTTGATCCTGCAGCCGTCATATAGATTGCGCCAACCACAACACGTCTTCCATTCTTCTCATACCCTGGCCTTCCTTCTCCGTGTGCGGCCTTTTCACTATAAAATCTTCCCCTCTCTTTGGAGATCGGCTGACTGGTCATTTCAGTTCCCATGGGTACTACTCAGCGACAGCTGCAGTCTATCGATTGTCAGGGAGCCTAGCTTGATGCCCGGCCCATCGCATTTTACTATACCTGCTTTCAACAATGGCATCCTGCACTTCGCTCTGCTGTCTGATCACTTCACAGGGGACTCAGTTGCGGATTGAAATTCCCAGAATTCTTCTTCCCATCGCCCTCTCCATGACAGACAGTTGCTGGTCCTCTGTCTTCATTGGCGCCCGTGTTTCGCTGCCATACAACGTTGCTGGCAATGCTGTTGAGTTTCAGAGGGTGGCGCGTGTTGCCTTGTTGATTTTTCCTTGGAGGACAGCCTTGATAGAATTGAATGCGCACCAACCTGATTTCTTTCTTTGTGAGAGTTCACCCTCCTGATCGTAGCACATGTTAATTTCTTGGCTCAAATAGACCTATTGCTCAACTTCTTCTATTGGTTCTCCCTTGATTGTTATTTAGGCTTTTGGCAAGGTATCAGACCGCATAAATTTCGTTTTAGAGCAGTTAATTTTCAGTCTGACTTGGCTGCTTTTTGTGCTGAGTTCTTGCAACATTTTCTGTAGTTTGATAGTATTTTCGGCAATCAATACAATATCGTCCGTGAATCTGAGTTGATTTTACTGTAGTAATAATAACAAAAATATAAGGCCTGCAACTACTCACCCCAGACGCCCAGCACAATCACAGCTCCCGCCAGGATGACATTCCCAGCCCATCCAACTCCCAGAGCAATCCGATGCCAATGTGGGCACTGAGGGAGACCTGCAAGAGTCAATATTTGGTGAAAATCCTTCAGTATCCAGTGTGAGGAATAAGAAACATAGCAACTTGTTCTCCTTTGAGCCTGTGCAGCAGTATTTTGAGAGTTTACTAGAAGGTTGCTTTTGAAAAAAAAAAATTCTTCTTTGGCTCACAATTCCTCCAAAATGGCTGGGCCAAGAAACTCCAGATTTGTTGTGGTTTTGTCTATACCAAAACCAGAATAGATGCCTCTGCTGACAGGTTCTTGTAACTTGGGTATTGGGCTCTGAGGCAGAAGACAACTTGCCTCAGATGTTCGGCTGTGTGTGTCCCCTCTCTGTGTTCTCCCTATGTGCTGCCCCAGCTCTGTGCAGACACCTGGCACAGCAGACCTCGAGTGAACCGCCCAATGACCACAAGATCTGTTAAGGCATGAAGGTACCAGGCTGGGTTTATTGTCGACAAAGCACGGTAATAGCACCTGGCAGATTCTACGAGGATACTAAGACATGTATGCCCGTGACAATGACGCAGCTCAGTCAGTGGTGGGACTTTCTGTTCCCCCCTAGGCTGGCCAAAGACACTCCCTCTGAGATACATCTTTGTACCCTGATACAAACAAGGTACACACTGCCCCTTTGACACAGCTAGTTACTGCCCCTAACGTGGCTAGTTATCACCCATCACCTTGTACGTGTTGGTTCAATCAAAACATCTCTATTACGTACTGTCATCCTGACCTTACCTTTTAGGAGGGGTCAGCGTGTTCCTGTTCTCCTTGGGCTATGTTTTTGTACCATCCTTGATACCGGGATGTCCTGGTACCATTTGATATCAGGATGTGTTTACATGAGTACTCTGTGCCTAGCACTTCTTAGGAACGTGTATTTCCGCAGTATTAGCCCTGTTCTTGCCAGATTCTGTGAGCAGGTCCTGCATCATACCAGGCCTCTGATACAAGGGCTTAAATCTCAGGCTCTCTTCCTACTACAATGTGGATTTCAAAGACAGCACTTTTCTCTCAAAAACAAAGTTATTTACTTCGTTGAGAAAAAAACACAGCAACAGGATGATTTACAAACAAAACCACATATCTTATCTAAGCTTCTTCTTTACTCTAAACCAACAGAAGTTGCAGGAAAATACCCAAACCAACTCACATTCTCTTAAAAAGCAAAGATCCTTCCGTGGCTGATTCTGGTCACAATTGATGGCATGCCTCAATGGCCTCCTTAACTGGGCACAGACCCTCTCTTAGAGTTGCACCAGCTGAATACTGGCCCTTTGAGTAACTTCAGAAAATGGTAGCCCAGTGTTCATAAAGACAGCTGGCACAGCAGACCTCGAGTGAACCGTCCAATGACCACAAGATCTGTTAAGGCATGAAGGTACCAGGCTGGATTTATTGTCGACAAAGCACGGCAATAGCACCTGGCAGACTCTACCACTGCCCACTGCATTCGCATTTTTGTTGAGCTCAAGAGCATGATCCCATGAACACAGAGGCACATGCTTTACTTTACACACTACTCACATGTGTTAAGTTAATCACATGAGTGTTGGCAGGATCGTGGCCTTAATACTATTAATTTGAAAGAATAAATTTGTTCATAAGTTATGAGTGGGAAAAAAATTGGTGAAAACAATTTCCCAAAAGTGAAAACTGTCCCCTCTCTCCTTTCTTATCACTAAAAAAATAAAATGATTGTTGAATTTACTTCAAACTTTCCAAAGAACATTCTCATCTAGCCTCAGACTAACACACACATTTCAGGCTAAAAGGATCATTTGGGGGTGGAGGGGGGTTTAGAAATGGAGAAGCAGTGGAATTCTAGATCAGGCTTCTACTGTAAACTGTCTTTCAGTTTGACTTATTATTTGATGTTACTCCCATGTTTCCACAGAAAGTTAGTTTTCATTTTCAAGTTTAGGGACTAAAACCAATGGGACTATTCATAGTAGCAAGCTCTCTGCTCAGTGTTATTTGCCGACTAGTTGTGACATTGGAAATAGTAAGTTCCAAATTATTTTCACAGTCAATTCTCAACATAGCGTAATTTTAGCTAAGAAACAACTGAACAATTTGGGGGGCAAATTCAGCTCTCGGTTACACTGATGTAAGCTGGGAGTAACTCCAGTGACTTCTAATGTTACTCATGAACAGAATCTGGCTCTTAAAATATTTTTCAAGAGAAGAATATCCAGTCCTATGTGAAAGTAATGTCTGAAGAGCGCGGATATAGCTTTATAAAAGCTTACACCTTGACAGCTAGATAAGAAGGGCCTTATGCTAAAACAAAAAATGTCATGAAAATATAAACTATTAATACAAGTCTAAAGGGGTACTTTCGTAAGAATCATTTTCAGGCCCTGTATAATAATTTAATTATATTCATAGGTGTGTATGTAAAAAGAAAATAGCTTTATAAATACAGTTCATCTGTAAGTTCAAAATAATTACTTTAAAATATAAATAAAGAGGAGAACATGATAAAGCCAGATTGATACAAAAAAATCATCACTATGAAATACCATTATGGATAGTACAGCAGTGTTATATATATAGTGTGTAAGTAGCTTGATAACATGTTTGGGATATTTACTTAGCAAATTAAATATCAATACAGTGAAAATATGAAGGCTCAGATCAACAGCTTAATATAGTTAATCATGTAGATCAATTTCCCTGCTGTACTTACAGAAAACACACTCTAAAGTTATTAAACTAACTAACTTACCTTTATCTTTATCATAGTTCTCCAAAATATCAAAGTTTTAAAGTTTTTAATTTTCAAACGTTTTCAAAAATGTATACTATGATTTACATTTTACAGCTTTAAATTACACCACACAAGTCTCCTCTCATCCTTATTACTACTCTGTTGATCTCCCCTAACTCACAACTCATTACACTGCAGCTGACTTGCATTACAGTAGCTCCTCCATGACCACGCTCAGAAATGGAAACATCATCCCTGTCCTTGGAAACCATCTGTGACTTTCTGTCCATTTCAGAACGCAGTACAAAGATTCCCTGGTTGCCTTCATCATCCGCAGTGGCCAGGTTCTCATTCACTTCTTCCTGTTCTTCAGCCCCATTTCCTGAGATAACAGACCTCTGCCTCTTTAGTTGCCTCTCCATAATATCTAGTAGAACCCTTCTCTACATGCCCCGCAGCTTCTGGTCTTGCCTCCAGGACCTTCTGCATCAAAGTGGCTCCCTAGGTATTTTCAGATCCCATCTCTTCTCCCCAATCTATGTTAAACTTCTGCAATAAAACAATGAAATCCTCCTGCTCCTTGAGTCTCTCAGATTCCATGTGTTCAGTCATTCTTCCCCAGACTCATCCAATGCATGGCTCTTTATGTACTACAGTGGGCAAGTCAGTGCTTTAGCTTAAATGCTTTACTTGTATCCCTCCAATGTGTATGAAAGGTGTGCAACATAAGACTGTATTGTCCTGCACTTCAATTTGTATGTATAGAGACTGTCACTGGCTATGAAGTTTTCTGTGACATGTATTGACAAAACTGAAATAAAATATCCTGTATTGCATTAGAGAGATTCACTTACCAGTTCTGACAGTGATAAAGGACTTCACATTAGCCAAGTCCTGCCACTCATATGGTACATAAAACACAGACCTGCTCTTTATTTCTACTGAATCTCTCTCTCTCTAAATTATTTCTGCTGCACTTGGAGGAAAAAAATCACTTGAAAAATAGGAGCCCCCTCAAAGATAGAAGGTATCTGATATAAAATCAATAAATTAAATCCACTTACTGAGGTGCTGAGATGGATGTGGTGGTCTTGAAGAGGCTCCAGCAATGTTTAAATCAGCATAAACTATATCTCCAGCCATGACAAGAGCAGAGGAAGGTGTGAACGTACAGAGGAGAAACTGTGTCTAAGAGCAGCCTCATCGGTACGTCTTAGCAGGATGACAGACACATCCAAAATCAGGAAGTGTTGTCTATCAGACATTTGACTTCCTTTCCCTGGTAACATACCAGAGAAATCCTTGCAATATAGGTAATTAGTGAGTAGGTCTCAGATTGCGAGTCAAAAATAAAGTTTAATTACATGGGCAATTCCTGAACTTTCCATAAGGGGAAGCCATCTTTAACATATAACCTTCCCTCCTAGCTCTCCCAGCTCATGTTCACTCTTTGTGAAACAACTGGGTATTTGTGATTCTATGGCCGAGTGCCCCATTCGAGGGAAAGATTGCTTCTTCCATGTGAGAGCTCAAACCTGCAAGATGCGCTGAGCAAGCTTAATTCTCCCTGAAATCAATGGGAGGGGAGGGCAAACCACACTTCACAGGATTGGGCCCTGTGTCTAAAAAGGGACTCATGGTTCTATACTTGTGCCCACTTTAAGATGGTTGAGTTCCCATAGTCACACAAGTTGAAGTTGTGGTGCATGGACGTTGTGCTGTCCCTCTGCACAGAGGTGGATTTCACCCACAATGACCTAGCCAGTGGGAAGAACACCTGGAAGGAATCAATCAGTGCATGCCAGGAGGTAGGGGGGTCTAGTGGATTGCCAGCTCCTCTGGCATGGCTGTACCACCCCCAGCCCTGCCCCCAAAAATCCATATTTAAACTTTTACACCATTTTTAATATTTAAAAACAAAATTTAGAGATCTTCGCTTCTGACTCCATGCTTTCCCCAATACGTCCTTGGCCGCTGCCCCTCGGTCCGTTATTAAACATGTGACTTTTAAAATGTTTCATCCTGGAAGTGAGGTGGAGGGCGAGCAGTCGACAGGAGGCATAAAGGTGAAGTGAGCATGGGGCTGGTAGAAATAAATTAAGTATTTAAACTAATTTAATTTACAAATACATGTGTATTTTTGAAAATAAGGGATAGATTTTTCTGGAGGAATTGTTGCATGTTATTGACTAACAGGAAATAAATTTATCCCGCGTATTTCCAGGGACAACGAGGCTGGGACTCAAGTCGTCTATGTCCCCAACCTTAGACTGATGTGCATACAAGTAGACTGTACCCATATGTGCTCTCCCCTCCCCATGCTTCTCAAGCAGATGAAAGAGCAGAGAAAAAGGATTTTGTTTGTTCCTTTAGGTGTATTTTCTACAATGGTATTTGTAAGTTTGCTGTACTACCCGACTGAGAGATATTGACCACAGACACTTCAGCGACAAAGTGACCAAATCCTGTCTAACCAGTGACTGGCTGCGTGTTGTTGTTTTTTCCCCTGTGTGGTATGAAAATATCATTGATCTGATGGCAACAAACTGACAGAAAATGTGTTCTTTCCGATGCTTCTTGTGAAGACACCTTACTCTTTCTTTTTCCACAAAGAAAACAATTTTGAAACATGACAAAAGTCCTTTTATAACTAAAGCAACTGAAATATCTGACAGTAGGTGCAAAAATAGAAAGCCTTCATGAGACTGAAGAATATTTTTTCTAATTCTGAGTAAGCGTGATTCTTGCATAAACAATGGAGAACAGGCTAGTTATTTTGCTAGCTACCATTTAATACAGCTTCGCTAACATGGTATGCCAGGCCTGATGACAAAGGCTACTGCTATTTTAGTCCTGGAACTTTTTATATTGTTTTGTAGAAAGCGTGTAACAATTTGGAATCAATAGAAATGCTTCTGTAGGAAGAGTGAGCTTGAGACTCCCAACTATTGATAGGAGATGGGCTCCAAACCCTTTGATCCTAACAGTACTTGCAGGGGAAAGGATAACCTTCTTTGGATTTATGTTCTCCTCCCCATACCTTTTCATGGTGGAGCTAGGGCTTAAAGTCTGCAGCTCAGCCTGCTCTATGGAAGCACCAGGTAAGCTACTTGTAAATACCACAGCAGTGCATTCATAGTGCACTTCAGGCAAGTGCTTCTGTGACTTACTAGAAAGATACCTCAAGGTCCAGGCAAGGCACACTGGTGCAGGGGATTTTCTTTTTAAAGAAAACAATCAGAAAGTTTAGGCCTCAATTCTACAAAGCACTTAAGTGTGTACTTGGCTTGATTCATATGCTTAAATCTTGTAGACTTAAGTACACACTTAGTTTTAAACATGTGTAAGGGGACTGTTGGCCCCTTACTAAAACTCAGTCGCGTTTTTTTTTTTTGGTTAGGTAGCTCCCAGTACCAGAAGTAAGGGGAAGGGTCAATGGGAAATCAGGGCCCTGAGACTGACAGTCCCCAGGGGCAATGGGGAGAGGCCAATGCTCCAGGTCAGCCTGATTGACAGGGTGGGCAGGCTAATCAGGGAGTCAGGAGGCCAGGGGGGTCCCGTCCTCCGTGTGAGCTGGAATTGCCTGGGTCAGACAGAGAGGGGCCGAGCTAAGGAGAAAGCAGGGGGCCCAAGCTGAGCTGCGGAGCAGGTCCGTGCCAGCCAGAGGGACCAGAAAAGCAGCCCAGGAAGCAGGTCAGTGCTGGGAGCAGAGTCACAGAAGCAGCCCAGGGAGCAGACCTGCGCTGGGAGCAGAGCTGCAGCAACCAGAGCCAGAGGGGCCAGAGAATCAGCCCAGGGAGCGGGAGGCAGAGCAGCAGCAGGAGCTGTGCTGAGGCAGAGTGGAGCTGGGGCTGGAGCAGTCTGGAGCCAGGTGCGGTGAGCAGATGGGGAGAGCGAGGGGGACCCTGGGCAGTGAGCCCAGTGCAGAGGTTTTTAAAATGTTCCATATTTTTCTTGGAACGTAAAATTGTTTTTGCACAAAAAGTTCTAATAGTCCTTGAGCTTAAGTCCTTGCTTCGGTTGCTAACTTGCAACGTGTGCATTTATGTTAAGCATGCATCATTTATACGAGGCCTTAATAACCTCTAACATATTACATAAATATATAAATTACAATGTATATTGATATATATATATATCCCAACACCAGCCAAGACCTTGCAGGCCAGACTTGGAGGGGGATCATAGCCCTGACGGGGGGGCCGATGCTGGGAAGAAGGGTCCTGCCACCTAAAGTCTGAGGGCATGTGGCCACCACCAGAGCAAGTGTCTGACCTGCAGCCTCCCTGCAGCACAGCCAGGGCCTGAGAAGGAGGTCTGGGACTTGTGAGGAACAGACCGAACTTCCCTTACATTCCAGAGACGATGGTTGTGACGTCCCCATGCCACGGAGCGGGATGACGGGTTTTCCTTTCCCATTTTTTTCTTATTTTTAGAAATTGGTTGCTGTTTAATGTATTGTATTTGCTTTGAACTGTATGTAATGATCAGTGGGTCAAGGAAGCATCCGGTGCAGAGAGAGCCCCCCGGAGTGAGGACACCCTAGCCCCTGCCCTCCTGATTAAGAACCACTGATCTAAGAGGAAAGGGGTTTTATTCCCATTACTTCTTAATTCTGAAAGCCAACGGGGGTCTCAGACCGATCTTAGATCTGCATCATCTAAACTGTTATCTCAAGAACTTCAAGTTCCATGTGGTCTCCTTGGCTTCCATCATTCCCGCACTGGATCCAGGGGATTGGTATGCCGCCCTCAATCTAAAGGATGCAAACTTCCACATATCGATTTTCAAAGTCCACAGAAGGTTCCTCAGATTTGTTGTGAATCAAACTCATTACCAGTTTGCGGTTCTCCCATTTGGCCTGTCAGCCGCCCCACAGGTCTTCACCAAATGTATGTCAGTAGTGGCATCCTTCCTCAGGAGAAATGGAGTTCACATATTCCGATACCTCGATGACTGGCTAATCGGAGGCCAGTCCGAAGCTCAGGTGGAATGCAACATCCATCTTATCCTATCAACCTTCTGGGTGTTAGGCCTACTAATAAACGATCAGAAATCCACCCTTATCCTTGTACAAAGAATAGAGTTCATCGGGGCAGTTTTCGACTCCATTTAGGTGAAGGCTGTAATTCTGGAGGATCGTTTTCACTCAATCTTGACCCTGATAAGTTCCCTATGGGCACATCCAGTCCCAACAGTCTGGAAATGTCTGAGCCTTCTGGGCCACATGGCCCCATGCACCTACATGGTACAACATGCAAGGCTACATCTCAGACCTCTCCAGGCATGGCTGGCCATGGTATATTCACCTTTGTGACATCATCTGGCCTTGGTACTCATCATCCCAACTCAAGTCCTCAATTCACTGACATGGTTGAACCAACGCATGGTCTGTGCAGGAAAGTATCCTTTTCGTGGCCACAACCATTGATGTCTCTGGTCTCTGATGCACGGCAGTGGGTTGGGGATTGGGAGACCCTTGCAGCACCATGGAGAAATACCCCTTTCTGTTAATGAACTCAGAAGCCTGAGGGAGAGGGGAAGCAATAGGCTTGTGGGTCCCAAAGAATCATAGGACTGGAAGGGACCTTGAGAGGTCATCTAGTCCAGTTCTCTGCACTCATGGCAGGACTAAATATTATCTAGACCATCCCTGACTGGTGTTTATCTAACCTGCTCTTAAAAATCTCCAATGATGGAGATTCCACAACCTCTCTAGGCAATTTATTCCAGTGCTTAGCCACCCTGACAGTTAGGAATTTTTTCCTAATGTCCAACCTAAACTTCTCTTGCAGCAATTTAAGCCCATTGCTTCTTGTCCTATCCTCAGAGGTTAAGAAGAACAATTTTTCTCCCTCCTCCTTGTAACAACCTTTTATGTACTTTAAAACTGTTATCATGTACCCTCTCAGTCTTCTCTTCTCCAGACTAAACAAAGGTCATGTTTTCTAGACCTTTAATCACTTCCCTTGCTCTTCTCTGGACTTTTTCCAATTTGTCCACATCTTTCCTGAAATGTGGCGCCCAGAACTGGACACAATACTCCAGCTGAGGCCTAATCCGCGTGGCGTAGAGTGGAAGACTTATGTCTCGTGTCTTACTTACAACACTCCTGCTAATACATCCCAGAATGCTGTTCGGTT